TTATTAATAGTATTATTATTATTATTATTATTATTATTATTATTATTATTATTATTATTATTATTATTATTGTAAACCACATTTTTATATTTTTGTATTATTATTCAAGCTTGTTCTACTGCAGTATTTTCATGTTTTATTTAATCACAGTAATTAGGTTTATACTGATTTTTGTTGTTATTGTTGCACATCTTTTACGACTGTGCCTGTGTTATATAAGAGAAGCAATAAATTTACTTCCAGACGAGGCTTTTGTTGACACTATTAAAACGTGCTTAAATAATGGAGGGAATATCCTCAATGCTTAAAAACAGTACACTACGTCAACCGTGTCATTTGATTTTATAAGTTTTTTAAAACTGTCCTCCTGATTCATTACTTTTATCATGCTAATTTTTTTTCAAAAGACTTCTTCCCACTGCCCCTATTTTAGTACCGGTATTCAGGATGTAGACATACTTTTTAGCGTACTTAAACATTTACCATGCCGTAGCATTGGGCACAGTATAAACTGTCCCGCAGAATGTTTCTTAAATTTCGTCCTTTTTTATTCAAGAAAAAGGACCACCAAATAGAGGGCACTCGGAGAATGCATACCTTCACCCACATCATAATTCTCCTCCGTATAAATTTCCCACACATATTGTCCCCATAGGAAAAAAATAATGGGAAAAAAACAACGACAACAAAAAGTAGACTCCATAGGAGTTGAGCCCGGGGACGATAGTGTGAAAAACACTCTTCTAACCACTATACAAAACTGTTTTCACTATATCACTTTGAAATTAATGGTCATATGTTTTTACACTTTACCGGTCAACGAAAGTGGCGATTATCACTTCTGGAAAATTTGGATTGTTAGTCTAAGTCTGGTACTAGTTTTGAAGCAAAAATGACATACACTGAATTCTCAAAACTTAATTTATTGTCAACTAGGTAATAATATTCTTGGAAAACTTTTGAGTACCCTACTTCAACCTTGTGTATCTCACTCGGATGAATGTTTGTTTTGCGGTTGCATTAGATATAAGAACGGGTCCATAATTATGTATTATGCGCAGAGGATCCAAACTGGGTTACTGTACTTTAAAACGCGTCTATTGTGGATGTCCAGTAAAAATACTGTCTACGACATTGTCTATACCATATTTCACCCCTCCTCACAAGGGTATATGCATTATTATTTCATTATTTTAACTCTTTCTTCAGATACATTTTGGGTAACATGCTGGCTCTCCTACACCGTAGTGATGATATCGCTCTTTCATGGCCTCGTCGTTTACAGGTAGGCAGGCGTCAAATTATTTTTTAAGGGTTTGATATTGTTAAAAATCAAATATTTTTTTCCGAGCTAAGCAAAGGAAGAAATATTTGTGTCAGTAAGTTTAACATATAATATTATTTTCTCTGCCAGGGCAGAGTTCGTGGTTTTGATTACATGTATGTAACCTCATAAATCTACCAATATACCAACTACTCTTGGAAATTGAGGATGGTCAGTTTGTGTCGAGGCGAGGAGTGGATTTTACTGTTTTAATAGCGTTACTAACAGTACCCACTCCTAATAAGTAGTTGTTTTCTACATATCGACAAACTTCTGAATCTGTTTCGACAATTTACGTATTTGTTAGTTGCGATTTTGTCTATCACCTGACAAATGATTCCATCCCGTTGATCTGGTAGGTTTTATAATCCGAATACGGATAAGGTACAGTATTTAGTTTTTAAAAGAGCATGGATCTCATAGTTTGCATGGATCCCATAGTTCAACGTGTGTGCTTGATAGGACACTATTTCATCCGTCGTTCAGCCGAATACGTAATAAATGGCCAGAAGATACAACATTACGCTTGGACAGTTCATACGTACCTAACTACAGAGCGAAAAGCGGAGCCAAAATGCTTGCAACCAGCCACGCAACACGTCAAGACATTTCAAAGCAAGTTCCATAATTAATTTTGGACCTCCCGCCAAAGAGCGATCTGCTGGAATTGGAACGACGGAAAGGACTGCAGAAAAACAAAACCCCTCCAGCATACCTTTGACCTCTGCAGAGGAAACCATCCCAAAATCCGTTGTTCCAAATCCAATAAAACTAGGCTACAATCATCCACAAATCCTTTCAAATCCAGTTAACTACAACCTAACGATGTAATTATCAGGATGCCCGTTAAAAATGTTCAGTTTCATTATATCGGGATTTACAAATGGTTTTAAAATGGGATCGACGGCTTCCCCTACTGCTATGATGTCCAGAAATCATAGTAGCTGCTTTAGGTTTCTAGGGGCAGTTAAAGAGTTTATAGACAAAGATCTTTGTTTAGGACGCATAGCTGGACCTTTTACATCTCCCCGTCTCCGTTGGGATAATCCTAAAATTGGAAGCGGGAAAATTCAGAATTATACGCGATTAGTCCTTTCCGAAGGGTAATTCGGTAGACGCCTCTATTCCGGTTGAAAAAAAAGAGGTCTCTTGTGACAATATTGATACAATCGTGCAACAGGTGTTAAAATTTGGTAAAGGTAGTTTAATGGCAAAGACCGACATAGAGGAGGCTTTTCGAATCATCCCTATTTCCCCAACAGATTACTGGTTACTTGGCTTCTCATGAAAGGGCCTTTTTTATTTCGACAGATGTCTCCTCAATGGAGCTTCGAGCTCATGTAACTGATTTAGTACGGTTAGCGACACTCTAACCTGAATAATGAAAAAATTAGGAAAAAACCAAGGGTGTGTCCCACTTGTTCGACGATTTCTGGTTTATTGGGGAAGCTGGCCAAGACTCGTGTACGATCTCATAATCTTCATTATGTTGCTATGCTCCCAGGTGCACGGGAGTTCCAATAAAGCACAGTAAAACGGTAACACCTAGGGCGTGTTTTTCACCATTTACCGTATTGAGGTAGATACCATAGCAATGGAGTGTAGAAATCCGTGAACAATTATCATACTTTCTTGACAGTAAGTAAGCCACGTTAAAAGATGTGCAATCGCTGTTGTGCTATTAAACTTTGCACGTTGTGTATTAGTACCCGGGCGCCAATTTCTAACAAGGCTGATAAATTTGACTGCGGGGAGCAAAAACACAAATCATACACATGAAAAAGCAACCGATTTTCATCGAAACCAAAGACGATTTAAACATTTGGTACGAGTTTGCCACCAATTTTAATGAAAAAAAGCAGTAATGCTTGTCGAAAATTGGTATTTATCAACAACCTAAAATTTGTTCACTGACGCAGCCAGCTCCATCGGTTGTGTTGGATATTTAATGCTCGCATTATATTAAGTTGGCCGATTTCAATGCAAATCATTATTGTAAATGTACCTAATAGTGTTAATCTCTTAGCAAATAAGTATGTTCTGTTTCAGTCGGACAAGCAGTGGTTTTTGTGCTCGGCAAAAATACCGCTTCAACACTCTTCTCCGATTACTTAGTTGCCTCGTTCTCTCTTGTCTTCATCACAACATAATGTTTAGGGCCCAACATATCCCGGGTGTTGACAATGTTCTGGCCGATTGGTTGTCGCGATTTGAGATTTAAAAAAATTAGCTGCGTACAACAAGTCTTAACAAAGTTCCTACGCCCGTACCTTCATTGCTGATGTATAAAAAAAAAAAAAGAAAAAAGAAAAAATTTACGGACAAATTCCATTTGTTAACAAGTGCCTCAATAGGGACATTGCATTAGGGCTTTGCGCTACAAGTGGTCTACCACCTACGGCCACGCTGCCCAAACTATGGGTCGCGACCTTTGCGTTAGGTCGCGGGCCGGTTTGCAAAAAAAAAAAAAAAAAAAAAAAAAAAAAAAAAAAAATTTTGTGAAAAAAAAAAAAAAAACAATTTATGTGCTCATTTTCAGACAATTAATCAGGTCTGATGACTTAAAAACAGCATGTTTCTCGGTGAATCCTCATTAGAACAATATTTTATTATATGCCCAAAATGAACATTCTAACATTCATATGACTAGTATTATTCCTGTTACCGTTTATCACAACATAATTGTGTAAATCTAGCTTTCATCTTTAAACATAAGCCGATATAGATATTGTAAATTTTGTCTCAAATTCTTTAAATTTTCCAACCATGGTGGGGCTTAGGTGGATATGGTAGTTTTTGGAAGTATGTCATTATGTGCCATTCAGGCACCTATTTATTTAATCCGGGGTTTTGTTTTACTCATTTTGTCAAAAATAGAAAGAATTAAAAGGTAATTTAAGTTCCATTTTCAAAATACTGAGAATTTCATAACCTCACCGCCAACCAAGGTGGCGCTGACGTGGTGTGGACTCTCATTCTATTAGCGCTCTCCCGGTCCCACCATTCCCTAAATCCTGTGTAAGCAGCTGGTAACCAGTGGTTTTCTGCAGAAAGTAACAGTACATATCATCACATATAAAGAAAACAATTAAGTTTATAGGGCTAGACCCCGTGTGGTACAAGTGCCATAGCTTTAGAATAGGTGCTGCATGGCATGCAGCATGCCTAGTTTGGTCCGAACAGGTAACACAAAAAATGGGACGTTGGTTTTCTAATGCTTTAAAAACTACGTACGCATTTCCTTCTTCAAGATTTGGCTGTAGTTTAGCTAACATAGCGTTTGGCTGTGTGCAAGCGGGCATAGCTGGGCTCAGAGGTTAAAGCTTTGGTGCCGATAAAATAGGCTCTTACTACACTTATTGTGCGTATGACTTAATAATAAGACATAAGCCATTTGTGACTTTAAGGCATACAATTTAGATTTTTGTGTTTTTGTGGGTGCTCCTATTTTCAAAGGGTTCTGGCCTTTGGTCACCCAGTATCTCTATTTCTCATGTGTATATTGTATTTGCTTTGACATGCTATCTTATAAAATACTTTGTAAAACTAGTTAGTCATTCGTTTTATAGGGCAGCACTATATCACTTGTATTTGTAATTGTAATAGAAAGGCTGCTGCCATAATTTTCGTCATTATTGAATAAAATGACATTTAACACACAATAACGGGTCTTCGATAGACTTGTTGTCACAAATAGTTATTTGCCTCTGTTATTCTTATTAATGTAATCATTATCATAGACATATCTAAATTAATTATATTCTTCAAGATTCAAGAAACATTATTGACTGTAAAATATAGGTATAGTAGGAGCAGTAGAATTAGCAGTAGAAATAGAAGTATAGTAGTAGCAGTAGTAGTAGTAACAGTAGCAGCATTGTATATAACAGATGAATTTAATGTTGTCGGTGTAAAAAAAAAAATCAATACTGATTTATTACCATTACAATCACTATTAAATAAGCCACATTTAATTTCTACATTTTTACTGACGTCATCGTCATCAGACACAACAATGTTAGATCCTGAGACAGGTAACGATGGTGATTTGTTGTTTCCTTTGGTAATTATTAACGGAAGTCATCTTTGACAAGCTCATCGTCGAAATTATCATGAATACCTTTTAAACCACTTCCTGTTTAAATGAACCACACGGTAACCCTTCTTGTTAAGGAGCTGGTCAAATTATTGATTATGGGGCCTGATGATATAGGCATATAAAATCATATTCATATTTTATTATAGTATAGTACAGTATAGAGAAATACATCAGTAAGTGATATATAGGTCTAAAGACAGATCTTCTTGTACAGTATTGTTTCCTGTGAGTTAGCTACCATAATTGCATAAATAGTAATACTGTACTTTTGTGTCCAAATTGAAAATTTAAATGCGTATACGGTAAAGGCTTTGACTCATAACGCTCAGTTGGTAACTTTCAAAACGGTAATCGGAAGTCCGAATTTAACAATTATTCTATTAATTTTGAAGGTATGCTGTACTAACTGTATTCAATACAATATCATTCATACGCAAAACTTTGAATTTTAAGAAATAGAAAAAACCTGTCCTAATGGTGTCTCTTATACACATCTAGATGTGTATAAGAGACAGATAGGACACTATTTCATCCGTCGTTCAGCCGAATACGTAATAAATGGCCAGAAGATACAACATTACGCTTGGACAGTTCATACGTACCTAACTACAGAGCGAAAAGCGGAGCCAAAATGCTTGCAACCAGCCACGCAACACGTCAAGACATTTCAAAGCAAGTTCCATAATTAATTTTGGACCTCCCGCCAAAGAGCGATCTGCTGGAATTGGAACGACGGAAAGGACTGCAGAAAAACAAAACCCCTCCAGCATACCTTTGACCTCTGCAGAGGAAACCATCCCAAAATCCGTTGTTCCAAATCCAATAAAACTAGGCTACAATCATCCACAAATCCTTCCAACTCCAGTTAACTACAACCTAACGATGTAATTATCAGGATGCCCGTTAAAAATGTTCAGTTTCATTATATCGGGATTTACAAATGGTTTTAAAATGGGATCGACGGCTTCCCCTACTGCTAAGTTTTCTATCATCTTTAAAACATTGTAGCCATTCACGTGGGATTGGTATCCAAATTTTGATTGCAGGGTGCCCCCTGATATTACTCGAAAATTTAGTTTCATACACCACATCAAACACTAGCTTCTGCTATATTTTATGTTTAACGTCAATATGTGTTAGTGAAGTAATAGGCCTAAATAATAAAATTAAATCAACAAAGTTTTTTACTCGTACTTGTAGTTGTTTATTTCAATGGATTGCTGACGCAGAAAACTGGAGGTGGGTGGGGGTTTACTATATTCATGTGACTACTTTAAGCTTGGTAATAATAAACCACTACCCTAATAGTAACCCATACCCTAAGAGTAACCCACCCTACAAAACAATCGAAGAATAGTAATCCATGGTTATTATTAGAAATTTTACGGTATATATAGTCTTTTATTGAATTAACGTAGGCCTATTGTTAACCTGTACCATTGTATTATATACTATGTCATTTTCATTCAAATGTGCATGATTTTAAAAAAAATAGGTCATTGATTTGTAATATTGTTATGTATAATTTCTCCTTAATTGGAGATATTTTGAATTTTTAATAAATGGATAAGATAAAAATGAATTAAACTGAATTCCAACATAATTTCACACGCGTTATTATTAGGGAAAATGTGGTGCCACACAACATTTCGTGTGCATTCACAAACTAGGCCTAGTTCATATAATGATTATCATCAATGCCAACAACACTTACGCGGTGGCTACTCGACTGCTTGCATTCAAATCTGTTAGCTGTTTCTTTAATAAGTCGTCTATTATTAATAATGACACATGGCTCTTTGTATAAGTGTAGTAATGATTTGGCCGCTTTTTTTTTTCTTTTTCAGACGCGATTCCTTAATGTTATATAAAGGAGATCGATCTGCGTTTCCACAAGATTATTCGCATCCATCCATCGTTGTAAGTGAAAACAGTACATTTTGTAAATAATATGTTGAGAACAATGGAATAATGAGAATATGAGAATGGATGGAAAGAATGGTGGTGATTATGAAAAGGAAAAGTATGATGGTGATTATGATATGTGAAAGATGAATTATTATTTATGTTCATACGGTTAATGATGAAAGAAATTGTTTGGAGATAATGGGCACACAAGAGTGGCCGGATGGGCAGTGCTGCTACAAAATGTAACACCGCGCATAATAACACCAAAAATCGGTACAATGGTGTTATAGTGCAAGGTTGGCGACCAAAAAACCACCTACCCAGGCCCATATCCGGGGGAGGGGGTTATGGTTCGGAGAACCCCCTTTTCTAGTAAACCCCTCTCTTTTTTGGCGAACCCCCCCCCCTCTTCAAATTTCCCAAATAAGTGCTCCAACCTAACTAATGCACTGCAGACCCACCCAGACACAGAAGTTTTCAAACATATCTGCTTTTATAGCATTATTTAGACCCATAAAGCACAAAAATCCTCTTGCTTTGGGGGTTTCGGTAACCCCACAGGGGCTTCGACCGTGGACCTCACGCCCAGAAACCACCCCCATTAAATTTGACTAATGTTATCATGTGCTTGGTTCTTTGAAGGTATCGAGCTTGCGCTATTCTGGATACCATATCGGTTACACACTATGGGGTGAGTTAGTAGCTGTATGCACGTATAAGGTACATAGGCCTAAGCAAAGTTATTCATAGTTATTCAGTTATTATCCAAATCTCACTTAATAGGCCTATACAGTGTAGTGCTCAATATCATAGTTGGCAAAGGTATTTCTATTTCGCCCGTTGCCTGTTTTTACCATTTATGCATTGTTTTCTTTTCTTATCTTGTAGAGTTTTTCATTTTTCAAATCACATCTTGGACTTTACTTTTCTTTATATACTTTTTTATTGTAATTCCACTTAAAGAAGGTTACGATTCTATTCTCATCAATGCATTACGAAATTATTGGTAAGTTTATGTTCATAATTTCAAAGGGTACCAGGCGTAGATTCTAAGGGCCCGCCCGGTCCCATTCCCCTGCATTTTTCTTTTTCTTTTTCTTTTAATGCAGAAAAACCGAAAATAATAAGTCTGAGATTGTCATTTCCGGCCATCTAGATGTGCCATAATCCTATCTTTTTCCTCACCCCAATAATGGTGGGGCTGAGGTGGTGGACTCCCCAGGGCCCCTTTTATATCGAATTCCTGCATCCACCACTTGGTTCTGCCTTGTGTGGTAGGCCGCCTGTAAAAATAAGAATATTAAAGCCAACAAGTTGTTGATGAAGTAGCAGCATGTAATTTAATTTTGTACTGTAGTAGTGTATGCACGTCAGAGGTCAATCGGCCTGTATGTACATTACCATACATGTGTGATTTGGACTTCGTGTGCTGAATCTAAAATATTGATTTTCTAATGCATTTTCAGGTTAACACTAGTACTCGGGTACATTTTTTTTTACGGCCAGCTTTTGGTCGTCAAATATTGCTGTCTGCATGAGAAAGGCAGAATACTGGGTCTCAATAACAGGTAAACCGCATGTATATATACCATAAATGTAAAAGAACATTAAGGTCCACTACATCTACAACCCTACATGTGCCTACTTGTCATCTGAAGATTTATGGAGAGAGGTCTTTTTCAGTTGTGGGCCCCAAGTTTTGAAATTCTCTTCCGCAATTTGCTTAAGAGTCTCCTAATTTGATCTAAGTGCCGTCTGAAATTATTCTTATTTGACAATCTTTAATTTTCCTCTCTACTCTCCTGTTTATTTTCTTTTTTCACTTTCCTCTATCTTTGTTGTTTTTCTTTTCTACCACTTTCTTTTCCGTTTCAACCATTTAGGCTTATTCCGGTTTATCTGTTGTCCTTTAAAGGACATAGAGACAAATTTTATATGCGCTATAACAAATACAAATTGGTTCAACATTAACTAAGGTAATATCTGGACACAAAATGAGTTGTAGTGTGTTGAAAGGTCGAAATTAATGATATGATATATACCTGACGTGTTAGTTATCTGGAGGTCATTGATTCGATTCCCACCCGAATCACTTGCAAATTTTCAAACTATCAATCAATAGTCAAATTACATCAATTAATGTTAAACAGGCTATAATATTTTCACTATAACTAAATAGCATCGTAACATACGTCAGTCAAAAGCACTTCTCGATACTAGGCCTAATAGGCCTATAAATAGATTCTGGTACATTATTGATAAGTAATTAAACGTCATTGGTACGTGGCGTAATATTTTGTCTTATTTCTTTAGACGTTGGTTTCACGTAGTCAATTATACGTTTTTCTTCTTCCACGTCATAACCGGCCTTGTCTCCTGTCTTCTGCGAATCATTAAAAGTGTTATTTTTGGCGCAATGTTCATCGGTCGTATTGACCGGTGCGTGCTTATGAGAGGGTTTGAATTATGGGATTCAGGTAAGATACAATATTAGGCCTGCACTTCATTATCCGTAACACTCATAAAATTATTTGCAATCTTAATTTCTTTTAACATACATACATAACATCATTTAGCCTATATAGCGCTATTTTGTGAGAATCAGAGCGCACAAAGCGTGGACTACAGTTCTTCTCCCCTGAGTATAAGAGTCTCTTCGTGAGCTGACTGGTAAGCAAATTTTTTTTGACGTAGGATAGTTTGGCACTAGTTTACAACCTACCATACGAAATGTAGGGCCGGTAAGCCGGTAACAGCTACTATCGCCTGCCACACGATGTAAGATCTTAAGAAAGCAAAACATTCGAATTTGATATTGGAAAAACACGTGCTAAAAATATGCACTTTCAAAATTATTTTAAGATATTTAAGCCACTGGCTATCTCGAGAGAATAGCATCATATATATTAACTTATTGCATGGAGGCAGACTCATTTATCTTTTAAAGGTTGCTGCCTGGAGGGGCCAGACCCTACACATTATGACAGAAATATTAATTGAAGAGGTATGAAGATCACAGATATATTCACTATCGTTCTTCGAGAAAGTTAGCTCATCAATCCCCATGCGCCATCTACCGCCAATATTGAACTATGGAGGAAGTAACTCCTCAAATGGTAAATCCAGACCTGTATGCTGTACACACAACTAACTTTTGTTTATACATTTGTTGTAGGCTATAATGCATACTTTGGGTTCTTGAAACTGGAAGTTGCTCATACTCACCCTGTATTAGTCACATTTTGTCAAATATTATGGAGCACGATTAGACTTCGCCGACAGGAGACTAGTATCGGCTTTAAAGGTACGAGACCTGTTTTAATTCACTCCCGGAGCTTAGTAGACTAATTTAACATACAATGTAACCACTGGCTACTCTTTTCCGTGCACATGGACCATAAATGCACACGGGACTAACGGCTTAAACGTCTCATACGAAAGACGGTGCGCAATTGTAACTTGTATTTCAGCCCTCCAGCTGAAACACAAGGAAAGGCAGCGATGTGGATTGAACCGGGGACCTATAGATCTCCATGGTTCAGCGCACACAAAGTGGCTACCACCAGATTAGCCGACTGAGCAGGGTGAATATCATATTTTACAATTTCCAAAGGATTGCCCAATAATTACTACTTTCCAAAGAATTGTTATATTATTTAACCATTATTTTCAAGCATTCGGGTATGGCTGGATTGAATTTGATTTGGGTTTTATTTGTTGTTTTTTTTGTTTTTGTTTTTGTTTTTTTAAATTCTCACAAGTAAACAAAGTACAGAAATTAAATACCGGTAAGTCGTAAAACAACAATTATAGAGAATTTATGGATAAACCTTTAAGCATTTCTGCTGGTTTACGAAGGGGTCCCGTTGAAATAATAAGAAACACTACAATAACAAATTACAAAAAAGAAAGGCCAAGGCCTAAAGTAAGAAACGTAGTAAAAGGGTAACAATACTGAATACAGCCTGATGAAGTCTTGTTGACAACAAGATGAAAGCTTGCGTAAGTCAACACCAACGTACTTATTTATTTATTTTAAAATATATTAGATAACTACTGAATAATTAAAACAAATTGCTTGAAATGAGAAAAATCTAAAGGAATGAATAAGGGAAAAGAGTTATCGAATCATTGTCTATGTAGGCCTAGGTACGATTGTTTTTAAATCTCTCTATTTACCGTGAATTCTCAGAGCACAATGTCCTGTAGGTATGACCGATGTTGATAGTAATAATATTCATACATTCATAATGGGTATTATTAAAGTCAGGCTCCGGAGGAAAAAAAAAAATTTGATATGTTGTAACTGATTTTTCTAAGACAGAAAAAAGTTGTTTGACGAAAAACTGGGGAACGGTGAATGAGATACAGATTTTTTAATATTTAAAAACTGGGGGAATAAGGTGTAAAAATGGGCAGTTACGCCCCTTT